CCAGGGCAGGTTTAGGTTGGACATTAGGAAAAATTTCTAAACAGAAAGGGTTGTTAAGTACTGGAATGGGCTGCCCAGGGAAGTGGTCGGGTCTCCATCCCTGGAGGTATTTAAAAGACAGGTAGACAAGGTGTTTAGGGACATGGTTTAGTGGTGGACTTGGCAGTGCTAGGTTAACGGTTGGACTTGATGATCTTAAAGGTCTTTTCCAACCCAAATTATTCTAAATTATAAAAATGAAAAATGACTTGCGTCTATATCATAGGTACAACAAGTCATGAAACTGAGGTTCTTTGCAGTTACTTCTCGCTCGTTACAAAATGTTAGTTTACTGGTCAGTTTTCGAGGTTGGCCTGAAGCTTGCGCCCTGCAAATAGGTCTGTGCAGGAAGGGAACCTTCGACCCCAGGCATGGGGCTCACCTTACAGATGGAGACACCTGTATGTAAGTGCCTACAATGTAGACATCTCCAGGTTAGCGGGTGTCTAAGCTCGTGCTGTAGTCAAGGTAACAGAGGGTGCATGCATAGGGAGCCTCCATAGTCATACAGCTCCTGCCAGAGCTGGCACCCACCCTTGCCCAACTGCGTTACTCTCCAGGTACACACCACTGCCTGTATTGAGCAGCTCCCCATTGGCTTCAGGGGTATCTTAGACACCTAGCTTATATGTAGACCACCGCGTTTAGATGCCTTACCCTGGAAGTAGTATCCAGTCCCTTCACTGAGCAGGCACATCCTACAGATTTAGCTGCATTTTATGTCCCTGGGATAGCAAAAGGGGTCGTTAACCTGCAGAAGCTTATGGACAATTTGGAAAGACCATCAAGTTTGTTTACCTGGTTGGATTCAAAGCCATGGGACAAAATCCCAGAGGAATAATGAGAACTACCTAAGATTTAATAATTTTGTACCTCAAAGTGCAAGTGACAATGGTTTTATTGAACTCTGCTGAAGTCAATGGCAAGTTCTCCTTTAATGTGGAGTAACTGAGTGTCTACAGGACATGACAGCCACTGCTTTAAGTAAGCACAGTACCACCACCGCAGCTAAAACGAGCAGAAGTGGTGAGTGCTCAGATCCTCTGAAAAAACCAGCCGATTAAGTGTTTTTCCTGCATGCTGAAGGGGAGATGTTTGTGATAAGACTGGATAAATGTCAACTTCTTAATGGTGACTGCTGCTCTTTCTGTAAAAGACTTGTGAAGAAATCCATGAAAACCTGAGAGGACAGCTAATAATATTAAGGTCACCAGCTTTTCTAAAGGATGTCTTAGGAATCCATTCCCATCACAGTGGTCTAGTGTCCTGTGGCAGATGCTAAGCTTAAGAAACCGATGTGCTGTTGCTACATCATCGTTGCACAAGTTTGTGGGCTAGCTAGTGTTGATCTCTCTGGCTTGGTGGATAAGCTGTGTGATGCTCACTGCAGCCGGATGGACATGCATATGGTTTGTGCACCGTTTCATAGCTTTTTCTCTACAGTACTGTTGTTCCGGGTAAGAAGTATACAGTCTGTCCTCGTTACTCTGGGCAGGTTATCTGTAAATTAAGCACAGCATAGATGCAGCGACGCTCTGCACACTAACGCTGCCAGCCATGAGCTGGTACATCTGCATTACACTAGGAGGACTTTGACCAGTTTGGATCAGCCCAACAATGTTGCTTTGTTTTCTGCCTCCCCCCACCATCCTTGTTTCATGCTTTTATTCCCTAATTCCCTTATTTTTGTTTAATTTGTTTACCCTCTTCTCTTCACCTTTACCCATGCTGATGATACTTTGCCTGAAGAGAAGCTGTTCATCAGTGGATAATTCTGTTACTGTGTCGGAGAATTCGGGCACTGGGATAAAAACGGGAAGCGTAAGGCTTTTGTTCACATACTGCAGGTCCTTCTTAACCCTTTGTTGTGCCATAGCCTCTGTTGTTAGCAGAAGCATGCTGCCAGGCTGGCTTTTCCTGGGTATTTCAGACCTGTCCTCGGGAGCACCCTCACTTCCAGGATTAAAGCTGCGAACGTCTTGTCTCGACTTGATCAGGGCTTTTATTTTCCCTGCTACCAGGGAGAGCCAGGATGCGGATGGTTTTATGATGCAGCTGGGTTTTCCAGTCATTTTGGTTCTTCTTTCTTCTGTCTGTTAGTCTTCCACAATATTCTCCAGTGACTCTCTTTCTCCACCCTAAATATTCCTCCATCTCTGCATCAGCTGCCATGAGTGCACTGTTCTTCTTTGAGGAAGCTCATCACTCTCCACATGTAAGGTCCTGCCTCACGCTTTGAAAGAAGAGGGAATAGTTTGCTTTTTCCCCTCTCTGAGCCTCCGAGAGAGCTGTGTGAGCTCTCCGTGTGCCGGCTGCTCCACACGAGAGCGGGAGCAACAGAGAAGATGCCGCTCATCCTTCTTCCCCAGCAGGCCCCATGGGATGTTTTTGTTCTCAATGTGCGGGTGATCCTTCCCATATTTAGCAAATCTCCCTCTCCTGGGGCATCTGTTCTGTGGTGATAGAAGAGGCAAAATGCCCTGGTTTGGAATCACCTCCGCCAACGTCGGAGTCTGCTCCTCTGAAATTAATTTCTAAACCAGAGCAATACTATTGAAGGATTAATGTGAGATTAGAGTTTTTATATTAAAATGCCTTATAATGTGAAAGAAATACATGTTCTTAGGTTATAACTAGAAGCTCAGCTTAGCTGTTCTATTAATTAAAGGTTTTCTTTGCCTAATGCTAATGAAGAGACTGGATTTCATGCTGGTGGGATGAGAGCCTTCCGAATTCCCAAGTGCTTTTTAACTCTAGTGTAAACAGTAGTGTGCAGCCCACGCTTCACACTGGTGCTTGTTTGGGACCTTGCATGGATTGCTGAGCCTGACCATCATGGTGTTCAGCATCTGTCCAAAAAATCAACCATTCCATAGTGGCGACTTTGATAACCCATTAATTTCACAGAATCACAGAATGACAGGGGTTGGAAGGGACCTCCAGAGATCATCCAGTCCAACCCCCCTGCTAAAGCAGGCTCACCCAGAGCAGGTTGCACAGGACATCGTCCAGGCGGGCTTTGAATATCTCCAGAGAAGGAGACTCCACACCCCCTGGGGCAGCCTGTTCCAGTGCTCTGTCACCCTCAAAGGAAAGAAGTTCTTCCTCATGTTCAGCTGAAACCTCTTATGTTTCAGTTTTCACCCACTGCCCCTTGTCCTGTTGCTGGGCACCAGTACAGTACAGTGCAGTACCATTTCAGTACATCGCACTCAAAAGGAGATTGTTTAACCTGGGGAAGTTATATGAAGTTTCCGTTCAGGAGGAGCTAATGTCGTGACTAGTGGGCTGGTGGTGTTATAAGGATTGTCTGAAATATAAAGTGTTGGTACACCTCTAGATGTTTATATAGACAGTCACAAGATACGTTGGCAAATACTGTACTGGAAATATGATTTCTCTTTCATTGGCAACCGCAGCTTATGGCCACATTCCCATGTAAATTTTTACACACACATACATGCACATGATGATATAGATATAATTTGTGCGGGTTTTAATTAATTTGGAATGGTTTGTGTAAAACATCTTCTGCTGGGGTGGCAGCGTGTTCTGCTCGGCTAGCCGTCAAGCACTGAGGCTGGCTGTGACAGCAGTTTGAGGAATCGATGACGGCAGTCCATTGCAATGAAGCCAGTAAATCTGTGACGAGTTTGCTTTGTCAAACAGGGTAGCAGAAGTTATTACTTAATTCTTTGCTGGGTATTTCCCATAGTGGGTAGCTGTGGAGTTTTAATGTAGCCACGTAAGCACGAGTGTGGGTGACGTGAGGGGGTCGATTACACCGACGAGAGCAAGGGCACGTCTGTATTCAGAGTGGCTCAGGCATGTTCAGTATATAGCTGACTTGATGCTCTTTTACAGAACAGTGAAGAAAGGAGGGACTGAAGGCCATCCCCAGTTTCATATTTTTATGAACTACTTTTTGTCTTTTTTATGAGCTGACTCCTCAGCCATTCCTGGAGTGATTGCACTCTGTGTATTAGGCTCTGAAACACTGCTACATTTAATCCATAAATGTCAACATTTGAAAACAATTTCCTAAGATAATTTTTTATAATTTTCCAACTGGAACAAATGTGCATGACCTATGTATTTTTACTTACATCATTATTCTAGAGACATGACATCCTTTTCCCTGAAGGAAAAATTTGTGCCGTGACTGCTGTGCAGCATCCCCCAGCCTTCTGCATAGCTTTGTAACAGTGTTGTCTGTAGACAATTGGGTGGAAGAAATCTTAAGGTCTTCCAACCTCAGATTGGTTAAAAGGGTGATGGAGAGTCACGAACAGAAGGTTAAACAGAAGGTTGTAAACTGTGAATGCGGTGGGGATGGCTGCGCTCTTAGTTATTAGTGCCTCAGAAACTAAATGTGTATTGAGCTGCTGTCAAAGCTTGTCTGCCAGATGAAGAAGCCATTCAGTTGATAACACAAAATGGCAGGGGTTGGAAGGGACCTTGGGAGTCATCCAGTCCAATCCCCTGCTAAAGCAGGGTCACGTACAGCAGGTTGCACAGGACATCATCCAGGCAGGGCTTGAATATCTCCAGTGGAAGGAGACTCCACAACCCCCCTGGGCAGCCTGTTCCAGTGCTCTGTCACTCTCAAAGGAAAGTTCTTCCTCAGATTCAACTGAAACCTCTTATGCTTCAGTTTGTGCCCCTTGCCCCTTGTCCTGTCTCTGGGCACCACTGAGAAGAGTCTGGCTCCATCCTCATGACATCCACTCTTGAGATATTTGTACATGTTGATGAGGTCCCCTCTCAGTCTTCTCTTCTTCAGGCTGAACAAGTCCAGCTCCCTCAGCCTTTCCTCATAGGGGAGATGCTCCAGTCCCTTTATCATCTTTGTAGCTCTCCTCTGGACTCTTTCTAGGAGTTCCTCATCCTTCTTGAACTGGGGAGCCCAGAAAAACTTTTGCTATCCTGATCAATTTGCTTCTGGTTCATACATCTTTCAGGGTGATAACACAAGAAGGCAACACCCTGAAAGATGTACGAACTAGAAGCAAATTGATCAGGATAGCAAAAATCAGGATAGCGAAGTCAGGTTGTCACAAGGAGGAGCGGCAACAGACCGGCGAAAGTTTCTCGCCCACTCTGCGTAAGGGAAGCTGCGGATGTTACGCAAAGACACTCTGTTCTCATTTCCCTGCATTTGCTTCGCACTCCTGGTTATTGCACATCAAACACATTTACATATCCAGGGATGAAATGGAAATGATTGATGCAAAGGAAGTATTTTTGTTAATTGTTGTTGCTCCGAGTCATGCCTGACTGGGACTGCTGGAGATGGGTGAGGAAAGACAGAGCTATTATTAGGGGTATAAATAATTGTCAAGAGCAACTTTTAAACCCGTCTGTTACCACATATGAACATCCAAAATTATCTGAAGAGGGGAGGAGCAGCAATACAAGGACTAAGCCAACGCCACGTCTCTGTCAATGTAGATGTTGGCAGCTGCCTCTGAATCTTTGTCCATCTTTTTTTTCATTTTGCTCCCTTGGAGCTTCAGTTGTTTTCTGTCACAGCCCTCTCAGTGCCTGCTGGATGTTGCAACAACAGTGTCTCACGCTCGGAGCTGATGGGTGTTTGAGAGTTCGGCTGCTTTGTCTGCACAACACTGGTGAAATGTGTCCACTTTTTGTGCCGTTAGTTGGAAAGCAGTTACTAATGTGCTGTCGTACATGCGAGGTGAGATGAGCACCCAATTTGAGAAGGGAACGCTGTGCTTGAAGTGCTTGAAGATGGTGCTTTTTGCAGTGGAGCTACCCTGCAGAGCAGATGGGAGGATTTCTGGTCCTTCCTACTCTGCAAGAGTAGTGAAGAGGGATGTTAGAAATACCTGTCTACGAATGGTTGCATGGTCCTTGGGTTCACTGTTGATGGGGGCTGTGTAAGCAATTGCAACAGATCAAAACGCTGACGTGCAGTCCGATCACACGTGAGCAGCAACCAGAAAACCCAAGCCCCAAGTTATTTTGGAAATACCATCTTTCAGAGTATCATCTGATGCTAACACAAATCATGGCTTCCAATCCAAGTGATAATGAAAACGCATCCACGGCACTCCCTAGTTTATATCCTTCCACCTGTGACCTTTCTGATGTGAAATAATTCTTGAAACAGCTGTTTCCATTAGATAGCAGATCAAGAAATGACCCTGCAGCAGAACATAGTCCATAGTTTGGCCTCATAACCTTATTCCAAAAAATATATTATAGATCCTGTAGGTGGAGAACTCAGAATGACTAAGGGGAAAGCATTCAGCCCTGTTTGTCTTTTGCTTTGTCTGCACTGGGGAAAATATCTGCATTTTTAGGAATATGCAGGGAAGTATCTTTTTTATTATAAACCTGAAGTTTATGGAGAAGCTACGGAGAATCTTTAGTGGCAGAAAATGGGTGATACCTGAAAAAGAAGTGTAATTGTCTTGGAGACTGTTAGGAGTTTTGAGATTTTTCATTTAACTGGAGTTAGCTCCTGGGTGAGGTGGCCCTCACAAAGTGTTGGTTTGTTTACAGGGTACCTTGTCTGCAGCAACTGCTTACTTGCTTCATCCTTCTCTAGGCTCAAGGAAGAGCACTGAGATCAGTCTTTTCTTAAGAAATCTTAGGGCTCATGATTTATTAATGTATTGTTTGCAGTCGGGTGAGTCATGCAAACTCACGAGCCTATTTTTGTACCAGGCCGTGTGTTAATTTTAGTCATGAATCTTCTGCTGGTTATTCTAGCTGACAGAAATCATAAGTATTTTGGTTTTGCTTTGTCTTTATGATATCATCCTGTAACTCAGGTGAGTTGTTATTGAATAAAACATTTCTCAGTAAAAAAACTCAATCTGTGAAAGCCTGCTTGACGCATACTCAATTGCAGTCCATTTCAGATTGCCATAAATAGATGTACAAACTGAATTCAATCACTAGAAGATGAACTGACAATGTGAGTTCTGCAGTTATTTGCTCTATTTCAAATCAATATTTCTTGGCGTCCCTTTTGTATTCTTGACAGGCGAGGTTGAATAATGGTAATCTTTATATCAACAAATGCTTTTGTACTACACGATTATAACTAATTTCAATCAAGCACTTGTCATATGAATTAAGTCAGATGAATGGATTTTGGGTCTCTCATTATCTTCACTCCAACCCATTTAATAATAGGCTTCTTCGTAAGTAGGTGGCTCATGCCAGTCTTCCACATGGTGTTATTTTTAGCACTTGCAGCATCCACATGAAATTGCTCGTGCTTCTCTTATATTCTGACCAAGTGCTGTATGGATTATCATCTTGTGAGGCATGCATGTCTCAGTCCAGAAGAGAAGTGGCAAGACTATATAAATCTCTTTTCCCACTGTTTTTGATATTCCTGAGGGGTGATTTCAAAGTAGAGGGGAGTAAAAGTCATTTAATCGGCTTCTACATAAAGTAACCACTGCTGAACAGCTGATAGGTCAAAGTAATTCCTTTTCTCTCATAACTGCTTATTTCCTTTCATCTCTCTCTCTTTCTCCCAATTTACCTTGTGTTTTATTCATGGTATTTATGAAGCTTTAAGCCTTTTACTGTCTCAGAAGCAGTCACTTTAAGTGCCTACATTACACTGGGAAAAGTGAAGGGGGTGGTGGTGGTGGCTGGTAATCGTTTTACTGGAGAATAAAGAAGTGAAACCCACTGAATCTTAAAACTGTGTTTAATGATATGTTTCAGGAACTTTTATTACATCACGATGCTGAGGGACCCGGTGTCACGGTACTTGAGTGAATGGAAGCACGTCCAGAGGGGTGCAACGTGGAAAACTTCCCTTCATATGTGTGACGGAAGAAGCCCAACACCAGACGAGCTGCCTACCTGTTATGAAGGAGATGACTGGTCTGGAGTCAGTTTACAGGAATTCATGGATTGTAGCTACAACTTGGCCAACAACCGCCAGGTGCGCATGCTGGCAGACCTCAGCCTGGTGGGATGCTACAACTTGACTTTTATGAATGAGAGTGAAAGAAATATTATTCTTCTCCAAAGCGCCAAGAACAATCTGAAAAATATGGCCTTCTTCGGGCTCACAGAATTTCAGAGGAAAACGCAGTATCTCTTTGAGAGGACATTCAACCTGAAATTCATTTCCCCATTCACCCAATTCAACGTTACACGGGCCTCCAATGTGGACATTGGTGAGGATGTGCGGCAACGGATAGAGGAGCTGAATTTCTTGGACGTGCAGCTCTACGAATACGCGAAGGACTTGTTCCTGCAGCGCTTCCAGTACTCCAAGCAAGAGGAGCATCAGAAGAACCGGCTAAAGAGGCGAGAGGAGCGGCGGCTTCTGCGGGAGCAGAGAGCTCACCAGTGGCCAAGGGAAGAGGCAGCAGAAGTAGCCATTACTGAAGATTATAACAGTCAGGTCGCAAGGTGGTGACACTTCTCCATCTTGACTAACCCATGAGAGGATCAGAGAGTTTGTGCAGCTTGGCTACCTGGGAATTAGCCAAGAAAGGCCTACCGCTTTGGTAAACGAGACCACGTCTGACACCTACCCCTCCTTGTCTCTGTTATTCTTGGTTTCTGCCAGTGAGGAAACTGTATTTTTTTCTCAGTAGGCATTAATTAGTGTTATTAAATAGCAGTAGAGTAGATTCCTGTCCAAAAAGACTTAATTCAAAGCCCTAAGCTATGAGGATGGGTTGAAGAGAGAGCAGATGTACCCTATACAATCTGAGCTACCAAAACTTGTGCAGACACGTATGAAAAATTGAAAAAAGAAAAATCTGTTTTGGTTCTTCGGTGACATGAGAGCTGGTTTATTTCATGCTGTCCTTTGCAACTGTAGTGTGTAGCTTTCTAGTGAATGAGATGGAGCAAAGCATATTGCCCTTCAAACTTTTACATGCCGTGTTTTGATTAAGGGTGGAATTTGCTGAGGTGATTAAAAAAAAGACCTAGGAAATGTGGGATTGCGGCATCGGTTGTTCCATTCTCTTAGCCAGCAATCAGAGATGATTGATAAGTGAAGTGGGGGTGGGGGTGGGAGCGAAGTTAGCTTATTTCTCCACAGTCGTTGTGAGTATCGAGCCCGGCCAGGTTGTGGCCATCCTTCTGAGTGTGTGTGGTAAAGAGAAAGCCTTGAGAGATGAGGTCTACATGGCATCTGGGCACACGTTGCAGAGATTATCTGGCTGGAGGCAATGAAATCAGCCTTTGCCTTCACCAAAGGTGAAGAGAGGCCAAGCAAACTACAGGGAAGAGGAAAGAGAGTGCAGGAAAAGCTTAAATATTGGTGTGACATTTTCCAGATCTGCTGTAAAAGCCTGGAGATATACTGTCTGTGAAGGTAGCCAGGTTTATGATATTGTCTGTTAAAATACATTGATGCCAAGTGAATACAACTGAAATTGGTTTTCTCTCTTAACTACGGTAGTGGCTAGAAAAAAAATCAGCTTTCATTTTTGTAGGATACATAATGGATATGTGGAAAGTCTTGATATTTATTACTCTGTATGAAGATTCTTTGTAAATTTATTGTTTTCATTATGAGAGATCTGTATCTGTTTTTCTTCCTTGTCTAGAAAAAGATTCAATGGGTTTTTCCTCCACGTGTTACATTCTTGTGGCTAAACTGCATCTATTTATTCCAAGATTTTATGTTGTTCCATTCGTAATAGTGAAATTTTGAAAAGAGGGTCCTGTGCACTGTAGATCTTTTGAGAGTTTTTTTCCTTCTTCTAGCATAAATGTAAAGCATTAGGAGGAAATTTCTCTAAGTGCCTCAACGTGGCTGCTAAATCAAGATGCTGAAAGTATATTATTGCATGCATGAATGGCTTTTACCTTACAGATTTGCTAATTAGAAATACTGGAGTACCTGATGTGGATGCACATTTCTTACTTATTTTCAAAATTCAAGGTTTTTATCCAGTCGGTGAAAAAAATAATGTTACAAAAAAAAAAAAAAAGCTGAATTTGAAAATCTGTCCCTTCATCTTCATGTCTTTTTTTTTTTTTTTTTTTGGTTTTTTTTTTTTTTTTTTTTTTAGTGCATGCTGTATCTTCTTTTCTTCCAACAATGCTCTTGCTACTTACCTATGCACAATGTCAAAAATACGATCGAACTCTTGAGAGTTAATGCATACAATAATACATTAAGCACGGAATATCAAAATGGCTATTAAGAAATTAAGAGGGCTACTGGGGTGATGCCTCATTATCAATGTAGTTTATTAGCAATATGCTGCACTACGCCTGATTGTCAATGTGCTACTTTTGGGGTGAGTGGCAGTGTTTTTTGGTCCTTAATACCTGTTCCACTGGTGGATCACACGCACCTCATCCCACCTCCACGTTCAGAAGGGAGAAGGCAGAGCGGCAGATCATTACTCTCCTGCCCAAGCATGGCTTGTCTGCCTTAGAGAAGAGCGAGGCGCTTCCTAGACTCCGTGGACGGTGCCACTTGGATCCCCATCGCTGGGAAGAGGCGCTCAGATGCCTCGCTGACAAATGGACCCCGACCTCCAGAGATTTAAATTGCAACGTTTATGGTCTAGGACTGAAGCTCACGCTGCGTGGCTGCAGGATGGCCAGGCCACGAAGAGCTAAGCCTGACGGGTATTATTGCATTTTCAGTGCAGTGCAGGTAATCTGCAGAGAGCTGCCCATCTTACCCACTGGCAACGGGGCTTCAGGCTGGGCTAGCCCTGGCCCTGCAGGGGGAAGGAGCTTTCCGGCTGGTGATGCAGGGATGATGGGGAGCTGCTGCATCTCCCTGCTCCCAGGCCTGATGTGGCATCTTGCTGCGGACCCTGCCACAAGAGAGGGGAATGATC